TGCTGCTGCTGCCAAGGCGCTGGCCGCCAGCTGAAGGCCAAGCGCTGCCGAGTAAGTTTATAATATTAGTTGTAATGTTCTGTAATTTTGCTGTTAATTTCTTTTTGTTTTGATTACGAAAGCCCCATATTCACACTTCGCTACTTCATTTCGTTCCTTCGTCGCGTCCTTTCGTCCCAAAAAAATCTATTTACTATGGAAATGTCGATTTTATGCGACTGTGTGTTCCTTCGTTCCTTCGTCAAAACGCTCCTTCGTTCGTTTACTTCCTCGAAACGGTCCTTCCACGTACTGGCGGTTTTTGGACGAAGTAGGTAGCAAACGAACAACAAAAAACGAACACAAAAATATTAAAATATATAATCGATCTTGGATTTCATTTGTAGTTGATTTCTTGATTTCGAAGGTGCATTGCCCATACAGGGTGTCCCATTTTCGTGTGTTTTGCAGGGTTTCTCGTTTATGAGTCGAGATACAACTCTATAGAATCTAAATAAATGAGGGAGTGGATAAACATTGGTAATATATGTCGATGTATATTTAAATTAGTTTTATATGTGCCTTCCTTATAACATTTTCATTAAGTTTTTTTATAAAACAAAACAGCACTGAACTGTCTGACTGAACAGAACAATGAAGTGAAAAATTTAAGATTTAAGGTTATGGCTCAATACAGCTGCAAAAGGTAGTGGCTCGACGTCCTACCAACGTGAGAATAAGGAAATCTAAACAACGTTGGAATTAGTAAAACAGACGACGTTTGCATAACGTTGAAATAGGTCATAAAAGTGACGTCGGAAAACTTTATATTGTCCAACGTTGTAACTACGTTGTCCGAATCACCTAGATCACTTAAGCAAAAAAGGTTACAAGACAACGTTTATTTGACGTCGCAGAAGCTTCTACTTTGCTGTAGTACTAGTCCAACGTCGGAACAACGTTATAAAAACGTTTAAATTTATTTTTATAAAAAAAAAAAAAAAAAAAATATTTTTTTGTTTTAACTAACTAACGTTAAAGCTTTAGTAAACATGTGGTCGCAAGTCGAAATGCTAATGGGATTAATTTAATTCAAAACTTTTATTATGTTAATAATATGCGTAATTAGTAATTATCGGAATGATAAACGAGCTCCCATCATTTATGTTGGTTTATAACACGATAATCGGCTACTATTGGTTAAAAATGATGCAAATTTTACCTCTTTTTCATCTAGATAGCGGAAATGCGTACTTGTCTCATCTTTTTAGACATTTGTTACTTTCTAGTGTCAGCCTGACAGACAGCTTAGTTGGCAATATACATAGTTTCTTTAATCAATTTTAAACCAAAGTAGAGACTATCGCGCAAGTCAAATGTTTTACCTAAAGCACTAAAATAAAAAAACCGTTCAAAAATGTGACTTAATAGTGGCACTTGGCGCTGTATGTACTTTTTCAAAAAAAAAACTTACCCAATTAATGAACTTGTATTAGTATTTCATTAGTATTTTTGTGTGGATACAGGGTGCGTGTAAAAAATATTGTATCAAACTTCAGTGAGTGGCACTAAGCAGCATAAAAATAAAAAGCTTTATCATGCCCTAGTTGGGGAACTCATCCTTTGAAATGCCTTTACAGCCCCTGGGTAAATTTCATAGAGTTTAAATTATTTGGCTCTAAAATTTAAAATATATTATTTTTATCTACCTTTTCAAGGCCTGTAACATCATCATAAGACATATTTAATATTAACTTTGCCTAAAACGTATCTATTTTTATCTATATAAAAAAAAATATTCCATATTATTTCAAAGACAGCATTAGAATGGAGGATCTTCAATTATGTGCAATCAAAAAGAAAACTGTTCTGGTTGTTAAGAATCACACCAAAAGCAGAAGATATCATAAAGAAATATTCTTCGAGTTGCATACGTCATCAGAAGACATACAATTTAAATGGCGCATTGCCCTACAAAAGTACTTGTGGAAGCAGTTTGCTAAAGTGAAACAAGAGAAACAAGAAAACCTAGTTTAACAAAGACACTCTCAGTGTTAATATAATATGGAGTATCTAAAAACCAGCTGCAGATTTACCGAGTGAACAAAAAATATAACATATTTCTATTACTACACTTCTCATTTATGTAAAGTATAGGTTACACTAGTGCAAGTATATGAGTATCCATAGTTTCTCTAATAAGTCAAGTATTAAAAATATGCATACACATCATTTTTTTTATTGGTAATTTTTACCACCCTTATAAGTTGATTTGGACAAAAAGGGGTGCTCTTGGCTACCTCCACAGCTGTCCTGGACGAACCCCACAATTCTGAGCTACTCTTTATCTATAAGCTCCAAAAAGAGGCTTTATTTTCCCGTTTTGCCCCTTTTATTATTATTATTATTATTATTAAAATATCAAAGTTGTATTTTTTAAATAGAACACCCTGTATATTATTACATTTTTAGTTTCTACGATTAAAATAAAGGCAAATTTGATCCAGGCTTATCATACTTAAACTTTGCCGTTTTTTAAATATTTTCAATTTTGTGAAATTGCAGTAAAAATTTTAAGGCTTCATTTCTCGAAGGGTATCAAAGTTTTTAATACTAAATATTTACTGAAGATTATATATTGATTATATATTGGTGCTGCAATAATAAAAATTATACTACCTTATACAGAGTGTCTAAAAATTTATATTAAATAATTTCTAGCTTTAAACGGCAATAACTTGTTACATCCCTACATCAACTACAAAAGTAGATAGCTGTGGGACTAGAGAGGCAAGCGGGGAACAACACGCCGTAACACACACACGTGTGATAGCGTGTTATGGCGTCGGATGGCGTGGCGTGTTGCCTAGTGTGGACGCAATACATGTAATTAAATGGAAAAACATACGCACAGATCTTCACGACGTGGGGTAGCATGGAATCGCGTGGCGTAGCGGGTTGGCAAATGGGGTCCTGGCATTAGTCTCCGTTGGATTAATGCAGCAGTGTTTACAAAAAAATAACTATTTTATTTTGTAGATTTTCTTAGAGTGGCGAAATTCCCATAAGACTTTTTGAAGAGATGAATCCGCCGCAGAGGTATAGACATGTTTTATTTATTTGTTTCATGTATACTGATTTGGATTATTTCTTCTAATACCCTCCTCTTCAAAGTAGATCCTTAAATACACAATATTAGATTGGTACTGTTTCATTCTCGACCTTATGACAACTATGTTTAAACTTGAAATTATAATGGAAAAAAGATAGTAGTAATGTTGGTTGCCTAGAATGGTTCTATCTTTACTATTAAGCGAAATAACCCCAATTTGCTACCAAAATGGAACACTATGTTATGAAGAGCATGATGATCTTCCTATATGGTATTTTTTTTTAAATTCCGTGAACATATTTTCATTATAATCTTTTTTCAAACTTTAAAAACTGTAATCTTTAATCGAATTTCAAAAAATAATCACAGGACAACCTTATCAGCTGATAAGAATAATGAAAATAAAATATGATATGTTTTGAATCATTATTAGTTCCCTAGCAATAAACTTTTTGAAGTACGACATTTTAGAATAGCAGTGAAAATATCGTATGGTTATAACATAATAGATCCATGGAAAACACCAACACAACAGCAACAGTGTTCCATGATGTGGATCTTACTAGTGATGAGCACAACAAATGTGTGACACGGAAACCATCGATAACACAAAGAATTAAAAATCGATTTAGAGGAAAAAGTCAGCGCAGACATCATACAGTAGCCGCGACTGACAAGGAAATGATCATAGCAAGTATTTCGTCTCCAGTGTGTCTGAACTATAGTACTCAAAGTGATGAAGCTCTTGAATCCAAATATTCTATATTGTCGTGTCCTTTCGATATAAAAGGCTATGGAGAGTTTCTGATGATGGACGAATTCAAAGTGAAGCATCCGAAAAAACTAAGCCTGATGGTGTTTTTGTACGAAGGGATTATGATTTTTACCAGTGTAAGTAGGTTGGATAAATAATTGTTATCTTACTATAACAGTTTCAGCTTGTAATGTTAGTTGTAACGAAATATGTACTTTTTGAAAAAAAAATACTTATAAAAAACTTATATCATATAAAAAAAACTGCGTCAAAGACGGCTCTGCCGTCGGCAGTTAAAAGGCGGCAAGTGATTGTTTTTCAATTTTGAGATTTTTGCATTTTTAGACTAATGTGATCCTACTCCAAGAACGGTGAACTAATAGGATTGCTCATCCTCATAAGACGTACGTTCGCCTCTTCCCGCGCTTCAGCTGACAGTTGTGACGTCATTGTAGTCCTTGTCAAAGCCTTGTCATGATAGTGTGTATTATTAGTTGCCTATGGTAAACTTATAAAAATAACAGCTGAGAAATTTTGAGTTAATTATTTTGTCAATTTTAAATGTGAAAAAGGTGTCTTTAAAGTTTTTAGAGCTACAGAGTGTATAAATACGTTCATTTTGTGTTGTGGATTGTGACAAAGTGCATACTAAGTGCCCACGATTTTGTTTATTAATTATTTTAAAGCAAAATATGGAAGTACTCTAAAAAGAATGCTTGCAAAAGGTGATGCTGGGAACTGCTGTGCTTAAAAATGCATTATCCGAGTATTTAATACGATTTATACAGTTAATTTTCTATACTGCATACATATAAGGTGTTTAAATAAATAAACTAAATAATGAACGTTTTGCATTCGGTAACCAATAATGCACGTGTGTGTATTATTGGTTGCCGGATAACGACTAATAACCATGACAAGGACTACAATGACGTCACAAAGCGAGTAGTTTTCGCATGCACCTGGCGGACACTTTTGGCTGAATGAGCAGTCCTATTAGGTTAACTGTTCTTGGGTTAGAGTGACTTGAATTAACGTTAGCCTAGAAAAGATCCACTGATCCAGTCCATTCATTATTATTGGGTATATCTGACCAAAATAATCCAGTCATGATATTAAAATTAAATAACATTTTGTAATGCGTTGTCAAAAATTTTCAAGATACATACGTAGTACGTACTCGCATGTACGTCCGTAGTACGTCGCATGTACGTCTGTACTACGCATGGTACGTCCCTAGTACGTACTCGCATGTACGTCCGTAGTGAAGTCCTACAATGTACGTAAATAGTACGAACATGGGGCACGTACTATGTACGTACACTTTTGTACGTACACAGTACGTCCCTAATTGGTCCCTGGACGTACCGACGTAAAATGGACATAAAATGTACGTCCCTGGGACGAAGTGTGTGCTGTATGGGTGGAGAATGACAATCGATAATAATTTTAGCGAAGTCAATCTCTAGACTTTTTTTCGATCGTATGGTATTTAGTAGGTACATTTTTTACACTATGCATAATGTTAAATTTATTAAAATGTATTTAATGTGACTTAATTCCAGAGAACACCCAATGGAGAATCATATTACTTCAAAGGCAGCATTAGAATGGAGGATCTGTGTCTATGTCCAGCCGAAAAAAAGACTGTTCTAGTTGTTAAGGACCATACGAATAGCAAAAGATTCCACAAAGAAATTTCCTTCGAGTTGCACACGCTATCCGAATACATACAAGTGAAATGGCGACTGGCCATAGAAAAATGCTTGTGGAAGCAGTTTGTTAAAGTGAGACAAGAAAGCCAAGGTTCGCAAAGACATTCTCAGTAGTATTACTTAATAATATGGACAATCTAATATCAGCTGCAGATTCAATGAGTCAATAAATGACATGTTTATACAGGGTGAGTTTCCTACGATGGTCGGTTAAATGGGGAAAAAATTGCATAATGAAAGAAATGTTAAAAATTATTTATATCATAATAATATAAACTCAGGGATAGGAAGAGGTGGACTAATTAGTCCTAAGTGAAATAATTTAAAAATGATAAAAATTGGCTATAACTTGGCTGATAAAAATTGGCTATAAATTGCTATAAATGCAATTGCATGGGCCTCCTCGATCACCTGACCTATCCACTTTAGATTTTTTTATGCGGTATGGTTAACAATAAGGTTTACAGAAGAACCTATGAAGTAAGAGAGGCGCTCGAAGTGGCGGTACGAGAGAAGTTTAATTAAGTCGACCGGTCCTTCTGTGAGAATAGGTAATAATCCAGTTTTAAAAAGATGAACTCAAAACAATGGCGGATCTTTTGAACATTTTCTAAAATAACTTTAAGTGTATGCAGTGACTGCAGTGATATTATTTTTTTAAATTTTAGTTTGTGTAATGTAAATTCTAAAGAACCGTTTAGTAATATATTCTGACTTCTTATAAGTTACAAATCATAACAGAATAAGAATGCCATGGAATCTAAGTGAAATTAATGAAGAAAGATAAGAATTGAATATAACTAAATTTAACTTTTCTAACAAGTCTTGAAAATCGTTCTCTAAAAAACATAACATTCACCGGTCAACGTATCCTCGAAAATGTATGGTCAAGAAAAGTTGAACCAATAATCTTACACGCTTTTCTTCATTTGAAAAATTCATATTTACAATTTTTGTTTATTTTAATTTACAAATTTTGGATATGGCAGCTTCACATTTATGAGAGCAAAGACGATTAAACTTGTTACCATGGATAATTAAGTGAAATTATTTAAAAATTATCAAAATTGGCTATAACTTGGCTATAAATTTGTTTTTTTTTCGAAATAACTAGTAAGCCATGAACTTTTTCAAAAATCTGAAAGGCGTATATTTATGACCCCACAAAACTGCAATTCTTTCCCCATTTAACCGACTCTCTATCTCCAGTAGTTTCCGAGATACCCATAATAAAGAACATCGTAGGAAACTCACCCTGTATACACTTTTGACCTCTGTAAAGTACCTATAGCTTACACAATACTACCATTATACTTATAATCAATGGTTCCTCTAATAAATTAAGGGCTTTTAAATACCGTATGATCGAATACATTTCCCATATAAATTTACATATAAAATGACAGCGATCTTCATTTTATAGTCATCGCTGATGCCGTTTTTTTCTTCGATCATACGATATCTACAAGCAGTAGGTATATAAAGGCTGAACCATGGTTCACTGATGTACTAAAAGATATTCTAATAAATTATTTAGAAGATATTATAGGTCAAGATTATTATACGCTTATTAAATTGATTAGGATAAAATAAAATGGTTTCAATATTTTTAAATAAAATTTAGAATAAAACTTGTTTTAACTTTCCTTTATTGTTTTATGTACATCGTTATAGGTTTTGGATTATTTCTTTTATAAATATCTGTCTCTCACTGTTGGAATGACATGTATAATGACAGTCGCTGGCATCAGTCGCCTATAATTATATGATAGTAGTCACTTGGCAGTAAAATTATATTATGGCATTGTTTCGTTCTGGACCTTGTGCCAACTATGTTTGAGATTGAAATTTTACTAGAAAGAAAATTGCAGAGAAACTTACACTTGCTGTAATGTTGTTTTCACCACAATCCACCAAAAACGTTTTACTTTTGTACTGGACCAGCAGACGATTAAGACTTAAAAAGTCGTTTTAATCATCTGCTTATAATGCTAATTCGGTCAGAGAAACGCGCGGCGAGTGCAAAACTAAAGTGTTTATGGTGTGTTGTGGTGAATTTTATGTTTTATATTGCAGTTTTTAACTTGTCGTATTTTACAGGTTTTGTAGCAATCAATTCATTGAAATTAAATCTATTATCTAATGTTGACTAGTATAAACAATTATTTTTGTCTAAAAGGGTTTCTTGGAAACTGACCCAACAAAGTTTATATAATATAATTTATCGCAAAAGGTTTCTTGACATTTACATCGATTAGTTTATTTCTATGTTTTTGGCGCCCTCTAACTATTAGGGTGCAGAATAGAGGATAAAAATCGATAATTCTGATGTTTTCTGCAAAAAATATCTTATTGATATTTACGACCATTCATTGCTTTCAAACATATAGCCAAGATGGGACTACTATTTTAAAATATTGAGTATATTTTGTTCTAATAAAATTTTATTTTCTTTACTTATTTTTAGTTATAACCATATATGTAGTCATGATCTATAATTTATGCATACAAAATATGCATGATATATGCATGCAAAACTTAAAACGGACATTATAAGAGAACTGCAGGTTGCGCAACGCTCAATTTAGATAAATTATACTGGGAATAACCAAGAAAGACTGTCAAAAAAGCGTGGATACGACAAAAGACCCGGTAATAGATATTATCCACATAATTAAATACTCCAAATGGCAAAGGGTAGCTGACAAGAAACAAGAAGGACAGACAACAGAAGCACCATAAAAATTACAGCATGGTAACCACGAGGAATTATAAGACCTAAAAAAAGACCAAACCTGAGATGGGACAACAATATTACGAAATTAGCAGGGATAACTTGGGCCAGCAAAGCCAACAATAGACTAAAAGCTGCAGCATAATTGGAAATGGTTGAATGAACTGAAAATGATGATGATATAATGTTAATGTTACTGACTATATAAAAATTTAAAATGTCAACAACAAAATTTTTAGTTTTCTCTGATAAACTCTCATTTCTTGCTTCTGCTTAAAGTTTTGATGGAGTTACAAAGCTACCTACTTTCGATTTGGTTTGGAAGTTTAGCACATAATAACAAAAAGAGACAGATTTATAAAAAGAAACAGTAACTACCCGTATAACCAAACAGTATAGAACCTCTATGGAGGCTATATTAAAATCTTTAGTCGATAGAGGCAGCCTTTATTCTTTTGGTACAGCGACGATACGTGTTTGAATACAGTCTAGCCTGTACTGAATAAAGTTGGCCTGTATTGATACTTTACCGCCACTATACATTCTGGATTTACATTGAATAAAGTTAATTTGTCGATTCGTTATCGTACCGATATACATACGGCGTCCTTTACAAAATATATGTCTTAAAATCTATAGAAAGTTTTTCTTGTTACCTAAATTAGAAAAGTTATGTTTAAGTTTCTTTCATAATTACGTGAAACTTTATAGAAGGGTTTATCGTAAGACTATAAAAGCTGCCAAGGACATTTATTATAATGGGAGGCTAGCCAAATCCGGTAATGTTGCTAAAGAGACTTGGGCTATTGTAAATGACTTAAGGAATAAGACTTCTTCGTCTGGCACAGTCTTTAATTCACCTGAAGATTAAAACACTTACTTTGTTAATGTGGCTAAAAATTTAGTGAACACCATAACTCCTTCTCATGATTCACTTTCATATCTCCCTAAAGCGAATGAGAATTTACACAGTTTCTTCTTCACGCCCGTAGCATTAGATGAGCTCTGTAGTACAATTAAAAGTATTAAAAATAAATTCTCATCTGGGACTGATGGGCTTACTCTCAAAATGTTCTCTGAACTTCCGGAATGCACATTAATCTATCTTACTACTTTAATTAATGAGTCATTCCAAAAAGGAGTTTTTCCAAACTGCCTTAAGACAGCAATAATTATTCCTCTGCATAAAGGAGGAGATAAACATCAAGAGCTTCGAACTATCGCCCAATTGCTCTCCTGCCCACATTATCTAAGATCATTGAAAGATTGGTTAAAAAAAGGCTTCTATCTTTTCTCATTAAATATAAAGTACTTTCTACCCATCAATTTGGATTTCTAAGTAACAGTTGCACAAATGATGCTATGTTCGACCTTTTTAATAATGTATACTCTAGCCTGAATAACCATCACTCTACAGCTACAATTTTCTGTGATTTCTCTAAGGCTTTCGGCTGTGTAAATCATAATATCTTAATTAACAAATTGCAGTACTATGGATTCAGGGGAGTGCCGCTCGAATGGCTTAAGTCGTATCTTGGCAACAGAAGGAAGCTTGTGAGGATTGATACGTCTATGTCTTCTTGTAAGCCTATAAAATGTGGTGTCCCTCAGGGTTCAGTACTTGGCCCTATTTTATTTAATTGATGCTAGGTGCTTTTTATACATTTGACAAAAAATGCACAAACACTTCTGCAAATACCCCAAATTTAGAAATAACTAGTGTGACTACTTCGTTTCAGTCGAAGTAGAAAGAATCGGCCTACAAATATGTGGTTGTTTATTCAAAACATTTATTTTTAACTTTAATAAAATGATATCCCTAGATTTTTCCGGTGTGTGTATTTTATTTTGTAGATTTTCTTGCAGTGGCGAAATACCCATATAGGATTTTTTTTGGAGAGATGAATCCGTCACAAAGGTATAGACATTTTTTACTCTGAGATGTTGATTTATTTCTTCTTAGGGAATTCTTAATATTGTTTTTTTTCGTACGACACATTCCTGTAAATTTGTCGAATATTTGCTGGAAATTCTTGCCCGACACAGACTCCAAAGGGGATCTATTTACATATAAATTATTGCCACAAATGAGATTTGCAATATAACGTCTTGGGCCTGGTTAGGACTCACATCACGTCCCGTGCAATATCTAGCCGGGATCCATTGACGCACCGCATCGCCGTCCTTTTCAGCCCCTGCTTCCACTATTCGCGCTCGGTGCGACACGTGTTTTCCCTCAAAAACTCGATTTTAGATGATTTTTAGGGTTCCATACATCAAAAGGAAAATACGGGAGCCTTTTAGGATTACATTGTTTTCCGTTAGTGTATCTGTCAGGACCCTTTATCCCGGGAACGCGTGGAAGTATCGAATTGAAATTAAAACCATTAATTCAGGTCTACAGTCTCTTTAAGCTGTGAAATAATCAAACTTCTAAGTTAACGTAAAAAGATGAATTGTGCAATTTGGCAAGTAATACCGTCTTAAGCCGGTCTTACGCGATGCTTCTATTGGCATAGGCTTGGACAATATTTCAATTATTCACAAGTCG